CACTGTAACCACCGCTACCACTGTAACCGCCTCCGCCACCAGCACTGTAACCAGCCCCTCCACTATAACCCCCTCCTCCGCTAAAGCTATTACTACTGCTGTAACCTCCTCCCATTCCGCCGCCAATTCCGCTGCCAATACCGACGTACTTGTTTCGTAAACGTCCAGCCTTCTCGCGTTCTGTGCGGATCACATTATTGTCATTTAGTATATCCACGAGCTGCTTGGCCTTGTCTCGAACTTATATATAACAACCAAAACCATGTTAAAAGAGAATTTCAATTGTGAAATTTGATCGTATCATACCTCCGTTGCCACGGTCAACAGACCCGTCGTGGTATGAGAAGCCCGAGAGATGGCGTAGCTTGAACATGTGGTCGCGTGCATTTTCAATAACACGCTCCGTGCCATTCTTTATCAAATGATCCAAAAGACTGAGCGCCTTGTATACAGTGCGCCACTGGCGGCCTTCGGCATCTAGTGCATCCCAAATCTTACGCATGATTAGTCCATAGGCTTCACTACAATAAGATAAATTGATAGTTAGTATACGAGCACAAAACGATAATTGACAGCTCCGTACAAGTCGTAAGTGAGCTGAGCAATATCGTTAAGCAAAGTGCTAGAAGCTCCCCAATTCTTATTGGATAAAGCTTCCTCCATTTTGCGCTCCACATCCGTACCCATTTTGGCTTTGACGGCACTTTTCCTGTTGTGATACATCACAATCTACGTAAATTCACGAATGGGTTATCCAAAGAGGGATAAATATACAACATACGCGTCGTCCATGACATTTTTCAGCTTGTCCAGTGCAAAGCGGTCCATAGCTGTAGCTGTGATGTCTGAGCTCTTTTTAAACTCCACGCGAGCACCCTCGCCTAAAAATTCGTCGATTGGGTCGAGGTGTGCGGCCCCCTTGTGATCTTGCAACAAGCGAAGGGACGCTGAATGACAGAGCCTTTGTATACTATATCTTTGTGATTGGCTTGCCAATATTGAGACACATTCAGACAACACATAAGCGACCACTGCAATTTTAGCACAAAATAACATGAAATTTAGATTTTCATAATTTTTACAATGGTATTTTGTGTATTAGCTTTACTTTGATCATTTGTCAAATTTTGAAGCTATTAATGATCAATGTCAATACGGTACAATTGTACGATTTTTAGAATTATTTTTTAGCATTGCAAATATTTTAAAGCTCCATAATATCGGTATTAATGAAGATAACAGAACTTTAAAAGGAGCTGCTTGGTAGTTGTACATAAGAAGAGTAGGCATAAAAAAGAGTAAAATGCATAAAATAAATTTTGAATTTATGCACTCTCGAAGCTTCAAAGCAAACTAAAAGTGGTGGTTTCTTTAAAGTCTCTCCGTTTCGCTCTTTGTAGAAGTGCACGACGTCGACCTGTAAACGCGTACTCTGAGTGTCCAAAAATTATCTGTGTAAGTGCACGGCAAAGCTATTGCGATTAAAAGTGTGAGGAAGGAGCATGAATGTTTACAATCCGATTTCATGGACAAGTAGATCATTCATCAAGCTTTTGCCCATCCTGGCATCCGATGAATTCAGGGATCTGACGGCCAAGGGTTAGGAGCAATACTTGCTCGACTGATGACACTAGCCAGCTTAGAGAGCATGCTGATGAGGCACGTCTAGGAGCGCCCCATCCGCGCGCCGGTTCCGAAAAAAATTACTCTCACCGTGATACCGCCGGTCTTGAGCGTTTTGCGGCTGGGAGCCGAAACAAAAAAAAATCTTTTCTGGGTGAGGGACAGTTGAAATGGCCAAAAATCTGCCATGCTCCAAACAAAGACGCACCGCGTCGCACTTGCGATCCTCAAGCAAGGCAGTGGCATGCAATGCTTCGGAAAAATGGGTGTTTCAAACGTGGGACGAGTTGAAGCGGCAGATGTGGCGAGGGTTCGCACAATGTATAGGGTGTGTACAAAGTGTTGTCCACCCGTCAAGGGGGGCAAAAACGTTGAGTACCTAGAAGCGCTAAGTGCCGCAGTAATGTCTGACGATATTTCTCGGCTTCAGCCATGCTGACGAGGAAGAGAGAGATCTTTTTTTTGTTGAGCAGCTCCGCGATACCCACAAATATTCATACGCGGTAGCTTAGATCATCTGCGCCTTGCAAGCCCCCTTGGCGATGTACAAGAGAGTGGCCTTTCGCGTAAAGGCAGACGACGAACCCTTCACGGGGCAAAGCCAAAACCCGGTCGACCACCTTGCATTTACTGGGGCACTACCACATTATATTATATCACATTGGATCGTGGTCGATTGGACCCAGTCGTAAAAGGAGTGAACCTATAAGAGAGGTGTCACTCAACGTCCGGGGTTTATGGCTGTTAGTATTAGCGTTTCGGGTTTTATAAAGCCGTGGAATGCCCTGAAAGATTCCAGAGCGTCATGCAAATATCCACCTACGATGCGCGACTGCCGAAAACTGAAATCAGTAGGCCGAGGCACTGAAACTGCCGAATGTTGATTTTATACGTGTGTGCCTTTTGATGAAATTTCTGGTATGCAAATCACAGTTTTTGTTAAACCTTTACATAGAGTTTGAGAACCTTGAATGCTTGGAGTGATGTCTAATCCTGGAAGAAAATTTTTATTCTAGGTGGGGGGCGCCACGAGTCAAGGTTAGGTATCATGCACTTGTTGCCTAGTGAACCATTGGTGAATCATGAATCTACCTTTACCAGTAGAAAGAAGCGCTTTGGCGCGGGCACAAAGCCGCGATGACTATTGAGGCGGACATGGGATTGTCTGAAACCGTCAGCAATAGTATTTGTAGGCGCCTCGAGTAGATCCCGGAAGTCAAAGTGATAGAACATCGAGGTCCCCAAAGTGTATCACTATTGAGATAAGCATGAACAAATGCATGTTGTATCCCCGAATTGTGTCTTTGGCGGGACGTTAAGGATCAGCTGCGAGCTGTTGTCTCCTGAATCATAGTTTGCGGAGAGTTGATGTGACTGGCTGTCTCAATCTGCCGTGCCGGAGCCGGTGAATTTAACGACGACTGTTAGTCTCGAGTTGAAAAGATAGGCTCGGTAGGTCACAAGGATGATGTATTCTTTTGATAATATGACGGTACTGCTGAGATAAAATTACCGCTAAAGGCTACCCTGCAGGGTAATGAAGCTCCGAGGTCAAATGGCGGGAAGGATTCGTCACTCATGTATATATATTGGCTGGGTTAGTGCTAAAGCTGTAAGTTTTCTAAAACCTCTGATAGAAGCTTTTGTAGGATTGAATGAATGATCTGAGCATGGATTTTTGAGACATTAGGGTCACAGAAGTGGTACGGCTGGCATGAGGAAGAGCTGACTTCGGTATTTGTGATGGCTGAATCCGTTGTTTAGAACACTCGCAGAGCCTAAGTGCAAGAAAATGAGACCGCTATCCTCGACGATCATATCGATATATTGCTGAAAGAATATCACGTCAAAGTGATGAAGGGTTACCCATTTGTATTGCCCCTAGATGGGGATATGTCATGAATTTTACTTGATTCCCGAGACAAATCGTAGAAAAACACAATGGCCCAACCCAGAGAGCAGTGTGATGTCATTGACGCTTTATTCCGTGTAAAGCTTTCAATAGATTTGGTAGGAAATAAATCTCAACTTGACGCCAACTTTAGTGAAAAGGCTAGCGGCTAGTGGGAAATTGTGCATGCAAATAGTTGGCTATGCTGCCACAATTTCAACGCAAACGCCAATTACCAGTGAGGATGTTTTACAGAAACGCATGTTCGCCTTGCTTTTTGTTGAGTGCCGTCGACCTGGTTGGTTGAAATGATCAACTGCTGGTGAAGTCAGCATATGTCTCTCAGCGCTAAAAGTTTTTCAAGCTGGATACTTTGGGAGTAGCTGGAGCGGCACATGGAGTGTTTAGCGGCAGCAAAGTTCGATTGTCTGATGACGCAGCTGTTC